ATGGAAAAGGATGGGAAGCTGCCCTTTCTAGATGTAACAGTCATGGAAAAGGGCGGAGGTTTCCACACTGCAGTCTACACTAAGGAAACAAACATAGGAATGTGCCTAAATGCCAACAGCGACTGCCCTGACAGGTACAAGAGGAGTGTTGTTAACGCATATGTCGACCGTGCTCTCAGCCACAGCTCAGAATGGAAGCAAGTCGACGAAGAACTCTGTAGGGTAAGGCAGGTCCTAGTCAATAACGGCTTCTCCAATGGTTTCATCGAAGACATCATAAGAAGGAAAGTGAAAAGCCATGCAACCTCTGAAGAGACAACTAACACAACACCTATACCCCCTATTAGACTATTTTACAGGAACTTCTTTTCCACAGCTCATAAAACGGAGGAAAGGGTCCTGAAAGATATTGTTAATAGAAACGTTATCCCTACAGACAAAAATCAGAGGATACAACTGACGATTTACTATAAAACCAGAAAAACGGCCAGCCTACTCATGAGAAACTCTCCAGACACACAACAGAACGCTTTAAAAGAGACTAACGTCGTCTATGCCTTCAAATGCCCACTTGGGGACTGTAAGCTCCAAAAAAAAAAAAAAAAAAACACAGTATATAGGCAAGACAACAACATCTCTTTCTAGGCGTTTAACTATGCATAAGCAACAGGGCTCCATTAAGGAACATATAATCTCTTCCCACAACCAAACCATCGCCAGAGAAATCCTAGTAAACAACACAGAAATCATCGATAGATACAGCGATAGCAGGCGGCTTGACGTTTGCGAGGCACTACACATCAAGAAGTCAACACCAGCAATCAACAGCCAATTATTGCACAACTATATTCTACCCACCTCAAGACTCCGCTCCAATATAGAAGCATCAAGAAATATGGACCAATAGGCTTTCTACAAACACTTCTATTCAATACCCATTGTTTGTGTTCTGTCTTGTGTTGATACTTTTAATACCCTATTAATATCCCCTCTTGTTCTGTCTTGTGTTAATGCCACATCACCCCTCCCACCTCACTCAAATGTAGATATAAAATCGGAGATACGTAAGTTCTAATCAGTTGTGTATTTGTGAACTAAAGTCTTTGAAAATGTAATAAGTTTTACGAAACGCGCCCGTGTCGCGTCAGACTAGAAATAAAAATGAATTTTGGAGAATTGATTTTTGATTTACCTCCAACAGTGAAGCGTAATGTACGAAAGATTGAGAAAATTCGTGTTAGAATTATTAATCTTACTTTTTCGGTCATATTTAATAATATATGTCTACAGGAAAGACTGCTACCAAAATATATATATATATATATATATATATATATATATATATATATATATATATATATATATATATATATATATATATATATATATATATATATATATATATATATATATATATATATATATATATATATATATATATATATATTGTACCTAGTAGCCAGAACGTCGTACTCGGCCAGCTATGCAAGGCCCGATTTACCTAATAAGCCAAGTTTTCCTGAATTAATATATTTTCTCTAATTTTTTTCTTATGAAATGATAGTTACCCATTTCATTATGTATGAGGTCAATTTTTATTTTATTGGAGTTAAAATTAACGTAGATATATGACCGAACCTAACCAACCCTACCTAACCTATCTTTATAGGTTAGGTAGCCGAAAAAGTTAGGTTAGGTAGTCGAAAAACAATTAATTCATGAAAACTTGGCTTACTAGGCAAATCGGGCCTTGCATAGTAGGCTGAGAAGTAATTATATATATAATGGTGAAGGTAAATATATTAGTGAAAGGAATTGTATTGTTTGTCGGCCCCTCCCCCCCCTTATTTATTCATTGCTCTACTACGGTTCTTGAAAGCTTACTACCGACTTGGGGTCGGATACTATGAGAAGTTATAACATCAAGAACCCGGTTACTGGCCCACAGTGACCGTAACAACCATCAACAACAAGTCACACCACATCATCATGACTGGTATTCATCCATTTAAATACTTTAAATAAAACAATATCTAAATGGATACAGAATTGATCAGGACGTGGGGTATCATCACCAACTTTGGTGTACTTGTTTATGTTCGTTGTGAAGTAATAATAATTAAAATGTCAAGAAATAAAATAGACTCGCTATATTTTAACATTAGTAAATAAATTAATATCTAAATAGTTAATTCATTTAGTATTAGATCAAATGATATTCAATAAAGATTAGGTTAGACATGTCACTTCATCAGTTAGTGAATTAAAGCTTATCAGCATCTGTACATATTGTTATTTTCACACTCAATGACTAAGTTTCGAAAATCTTCAATAAAAATAATTTTTGGTATTTAGGCATGGCATCAAGTAGATTTGTAAAGCTGCAGACGAGGAGTCACAACGTGGCTAAAGATATGATGACCAAACCACACACCAGAAGATCAGGAGATGACGTTTCGGTCCGTCCTGGACCATTATTAAGTAGACTCAATCGACTTGATAATAGGAGTTGTGGGAGTTGTTATGGCTACTTGTTTAAAGTATTTCCCTCTGTACCAATATTGTTTAATATTCATCTATCACATTTTAATCTTAGAATTTTGCAATACTAGATCATTTGTAGTACAGTTTTTGTAACTGGTACTGAGTCAAGATATACGAACTGCAGTTATTTTACCTTTTTAGCATTTTTTGTTTTTAATATTTGATAATGCACAAAGAAATCACATTAACGTTATATCAATTAGAAAATCAGTAGGAGCCATGAGGAGGGTTCGCACTTAGGCTGTGAGTACTTTCAAGCAAGCACCTTAGACCACTACACCACGACATAGTCAAACCCATTGCAACCTGGGATTCAATTGAATCTTCTGGGGTTCGTGAGGTCTAGCTAGGGTGCCACACATTGACCCCTTACACTCTGGCTTGTAGTCTAGAAATTTTTCCTCCTACACTTCTCTTGAAGTGAAAGGTATTAGGAGAAAACGCCAAGTCAATACGACCATATGGCACTTGGAAGGGGTCAGGATAAGGATTTGGGATGGGATGGGTGGAAAGGAATCTCTTGAAATGCACAAAGAAATTACATTAATGTAACGTATCAATGAGAAAATCAGGAGCGATGAGGAGGATTCGAACCTGTGCTTTGGGTAATCCCAAGCAAAAGCCTTGGGAGTACTCGGAGGAGAAGGGTAGGAGGTAGAATTCCTAGACAACAAGCCAGAATGTAAGGGTGAAATGCTTGAAACCTTGGTTAGACTTAATCGTGCCTTCTCGCCATGCCAGTGGCTGGAGGGGATTGGTGCCCTGAAGCTACATAAACACCCTGTACCCCCCCCCCCCCCCCCCCCCAGAAGTGGCAAGGGGAGTTGGGGGGACAACAATAGCCTCAAGAACCCTAGAGGCGTCAGTTGAATTCCAGGTTGCTTTTGACCATGTCGTTGTGTAGTGGTCTAAGGTACTCACCGAATTGTGCTTGAGGGGGTTGAGCTCTGGCTCTTTGGTCCCACCTCTCAACTGTCAATCAATCGGTGTACAGATTCCTGAGCCTACTGGGTTCTATCATATCTACATTTGAAACTGTGTATGGAGTCAGCTTCCACCACATCACTGCCTAATGCATTCCACCTGTTAACTACTCTGACACTGAAAAAGTTCTTTCTAACGTCCCTGTGGCTCATTTCGGTACTCGGTTTCCACCTGCGTCCCTTTGCTCGCGTACCACCCGTGTTAAACACTTTATCTACCCTGTCAATTCCTGAGAATTTTGTAGGCAGTGATCGTCTCTCCTTACTCTTGTCTTCTAGTGTCGTGTGGTGCATTTCTCGCAGCCTTTCTTCGTAACTCATGCCTCTTAGTTTTGGGATTAGCCTAGTGGCATATCTCTGAACTTTTTCAAGCTTCACCTTGTGCTTGACAAGGTACGGGATCCATGCTGGGGCCGCATACTCCAGGATTGGTCTTACATATGTGGTATACAAGGTTCTGAATGATTCCTTACACAGGTTCCTGAAGGCAGTTCTGATGTTAGCCAGCCTCGGATACGCCGCAGATGTTATTCTTTTTTATGTGGGCTTCAGGAGACAGGGTTGGTGTGATATCAACTCCTAGATCCTTCTCTCTGTCCGTTTCATGAAGGACTTCATCTCCCACTCTGTATCCTGTGTCTGGCCTACTGTTTACACTGCCTAGTTTCATTACCTTACATTTACTCTGGTTGAACTTTAGTAGCCATTTGTTGGACCATTCATGCAGTCTGTCTAGGTCATCTTATAGTCTCATACTATCTTCCTATGTCTTAATACTCATTTTTACATCGTCAGCAAACAATGAGAGGAATGATTCTATACCATCTAGAGGATCATTTACATATATAAGAAACAGTATGGGTTCAAGGACTGAACCCTGCAGGACCCCACTGGTGACGTCTCTCCAATCTGAGACCTCACCCCTTTACACTGATTCGCTGTCTTCTGTTAATTAGGTACTCCCTTATCAATTGAGTACCTTCCCTTTCACTCCTGCCTGCACCTCCAGCTTTCGCACGAGTCTCTGGTGTGGCACTGTGCAAAGGCTTTCTGGCAGACTGCATATTTTTAGTCTGCCTACCCCACCCCACAGGTGTCTGCCTGTGAGTACTCAAAGCATTAGTCTTAATCCTCCTCATGGCTCTTACTGATTTTCTCATTTTATAATATAATTTTTGAAATCAGAGAGACTCCTCTGATTTTTTGAGGGTATACAAGGACATCTGCATAGACCGATGACACTATATGGCTGGGAAGCGTATTCAACACATTTTAAACAAGTACTCGTGTACACGTGTTAATTATCATAATAAAACCTTTGAAATGTTGGGCACACAATAATAGTATGATCTGCAGTCACATAAGCACTCGGCTAGATGTGGCTTTTCACCTCTAATTAATTCCCATGAAACGAGAGATCTTCTAACAAATCCTATATTCCATGCTATGTATAACGTTAGGTGGCTTCTACAGGTGAGTGAGCGAGAGCAAGCGGCGGTGGACGCTTGGCTGGCTTCAGGGAAGCCTTTCCATATGATGCGGGATCACCCAGAACATGGTGCGCCTATCCTGGCTGGGACTTGGGCAGCTCGCTGGGACCAAGACATCATCAACGCCAGTGAACTCATTACCATCAGGGACCTCATGTTCAGAGACGCAGTTGGCACCTTCCGTTATGGAGATGATCAAGCCATTTTATCAGTCAGTATATTATACATTCACTTATAATGTAGTGTGGATTGTTAAGTGCAACACATTAAGCAAATGCAAACAATGCATTTCTAATTAACAAAGTAATTTGTACAATTACAATAATTTTGTAATGTCTGTAAACAAAATATATTATGTTTACTAAAGACTCTGGAGTACCATGTTAAATTTTGCTAAAGGTTGACAGATTAATTCAAGTGCATACTTTTAGTGAGCCAGCCAGAGGCTTAGGGCCCGCACAGGAATATCCCTGCAAAAAAAGTGCATATTTGAGATGTAGAAATTTCCTGATGGAGTCTTCTGAAGGAACACAAACACAATGATGTCTGTTGATGATAAAAAAATATCCCTAATACTGAAAAAGATAAACCTGCGACCCATTCCCACGAGATGCCTTCTTCATCTCTCACAAAATGTCATTTTGACACAGCAGTTATGTTTCTCAAAATATGATAATGAATTTAGTATAAAAAGAATTATAACCGGCAGTTGATCTCGATTTCCTCTAGTCATTCATGGCTCGGTCCTCTTCTTGGAAAAGTTCAACATATACCTTGGAATAAAGCTTTCATTTACCTAGATATGTTGCCATTTTATAATACCAATGTAATAACAATAACAAGATTGGCTATATAATTCTTTATTACTGTGAATTTATCTATTGCAAAATGTATATTTTAATTATCTTAAAAAAACTGCAATACATTCCACTTTTATTTATTAAACTACTTGGCAATATTTAATCGGCTGATAAGTAATCTACTTACTGAAGTGGGCCCCCTTCCCCATCCGGCCTGTTGGCGCCATAAGGGGGCTTGGTGGTCGGCTGCCGGTGTGTGATGCTCCATGGGAAAGTCCTGTCATTTTGTGGCCTTATGCTCCTGCTGCTGTCTTCTCCAATTATGCCGGATCGCTTTTCCTTTTCCTTATGTTTCGTTTTTCACCCCCTTTTCTCTTATCTGCTTGTCGTTTCCTGCCGACTTTTTGCTTGTTTTGGTTATTCCTTTGGACGTCTTCTATTTTGACGCCCGGGTGCTTGGGGAGGCATACTCTTGCACCTGTAGAACCGTAGTACCCAATGTCGAGAGTGAGGGGGAACCTTTTATTGTCAATCCTCCGTTCGTCACTGAACCTGATCTCGCCAGACTGACGGTGGCGTTTGTGGGGGGTATACTCACGACGCACCCCTAGGGGGCCCCAGCATGATCGGCGATAGCTTCTTGTTGGGTGTCCTGCCTCTAATTGTGGCTCCATGGTGGGTATGAGGGCACTTTCGTGAATGAATGGTTTTTCTCTACGTCCTCATGTCTAATTCTGTTCCTCTTCTACCTTCTCCGGCTCGTGGGGTGGGCGACCAAGCCCCCGAGTCGGACCGTGTTGGAAGACCGGGTTCTGTAGCCCCAGCTGCATTGGGCCCCGACCTTGCTCCTCCTTTGACCCTCCTGACTTCTCCCCTCGGCTCTCCTCCCTCCTCTGTGGTTGGGTAGAGCCCCAAGCCCCCAGTGGTGACCACCTCGTCCCCTGGCGCGGCTCCTTCTCTAGTTGTAACTACTGCGCCTTTTAACCCCTCTCTCTCTCTCGGGGTTCTCAATGCCGTCCTCGGCACGGCTGCAGTCACTCGATTCTTTCCCGTACTGATGCGTATCAAGCCTTGTTTGGTCTCGCTTCACGGGCCAAATACTTTGATCTCTTCCCTCTTGATTCTGTACCTCCTGCCGATTTCTCCCTTCATAGGCACCTTGTAGATTCCGTAGATGCCTCTGTTACTTTCCATCCCACCCGTCTCGGTACACGTGTTGTTACTACTCCTTCTCAGGATGCAGCTTTCCGCTTGGCCCCCTGGTCCCTCCTTGGTGAAACCCCCTGTTCGGGTCTCCAAGATCCCTCGGTCGAATGAAAGTGTTGGCACTAATCTCATCCCACCCCATGTTGCTACCGGTGTTCGGAATCTCCAGGAATGCCACGAAGATATTCGTCATATCCTCGATGCCCAGGGCCATTCTGACCTCCAGGTAGACTCGTTTACTCGTCCCCTCGTGGTCGTCGCCGTCAACCCCTTCGGGTTGTGAAGATTACCTTTGATGGTAGGACCCTTCCACCCTCTGTCATTCTTGCTGGTGCCAGGTGCTCCGTCCAGGAGTACATTCCCTCTCCTCGGCTATGTAATAAGTGCTGGAGGTTTGGACATGATGCCTCTGGTACTGTATCTCTGTGTCCTTTGTGTGGGGACGAAGCGCACTCGTGTGTTGGGGGTGTGCACTCCAAGTCGGAGTGCACTTCTCCCCAGGCTCACTGCCTCAATTGCGGTGAGGCCCACCCTACCTTCTCTTGTGTTTGTATACTTTACAAGCTTGAGGCAGCCGTCCTAAACTTGAAGCATCGGGAGCGTTTGCCTTTTCCTGAGGCGAGGTGCCAAGTTCGCCGTCTCCCATCTTATGCTAATATCTCTTATGCTCGCGTGTTGCTCTCTTCCTCTCCTCGTCCTTCCCACCTTCCTCAGACTCACAACCGTTTCCGGGCCTTGAACCCTGACATGCCCACTGCCCCCTCCTCTGTTCCTTTGAGTTCTGTTCCGAAGGGTCCCCCTCCTGGTCCTCTGTATGGGGGTTCCCCTTCTTTCTGCCCGGTCTGTCATGTCTCCTGTGTCTTCTTCCTCGTCTCCCTCCGATCCTCCTTCCCATCCTTTTCCTCTGTCTATTGGCTTTCCATGCCACCTGTCAGTGCGGGCTGATGTCCATCGCTCTTCTACCGGCCATCGTGTATGCTCTCGTTCTGCTTCTCTTGTTGAGACGCTAGAATCCGTTGCCCAGTACGTAGTTGCTGGGACATCTGTCTCTTTGAGTTAGAAGTGTAAGCCTGGCTCCTCTCCTTCCTCATCCCCGGCGAGTAAAAAGGCTTCGCTTTCTTCCTCGCCCCCTACCTCTGACACTCTCGCTCCGTCCCCTCCCTTTTCGGTGGTTATGTCCCCCTGTTCCTGCTATGGCAGTTTTTTTGGCCCCCGCTTCCCTCTCGGTTGGTGCCCTTGCTGAGGTGCATTCCCTGGTTTCTGCCCTTCCTGCTTCCGTCCTTGACCCTCGGTTATCCCCTCCTCTTCCTCCTCCGGATGCTGCTCGTCCGCCCCTGGTCGGTCCTCTAGCTCCCTTCCCTCCTTCTTTACTCAGTTACTCCATGCCGCCTCCTAACCCTGACTTCACTGACCCTGATCCTGCGCTTCTTTAACGTGCTGTGTTCCCTTTTCATCTTTGTTTCTTCATTGTTCTCTGTTGCTGTCCTTTCTCTTCTCGTCGATGTCTATTCTTCAATGGAACGTTCGTGGTTATTACGCCAATTTCCTTGAACCCCAACTTCTGATTTCGTGGTTTTTGCCCCTTTGTGTCTGTTTCCAGGAGCCGATGCTTGGTGCTCGTCCTGGTTGCTTTCGTGGCTATTCCTTTCTCTCCCCTCCCCCAGCAATAGCCTCCTAACTCTTTGGTTCTCTTAATTTGCTCTGATGTTCCCTTTGTCCCTTTACTTTTTCCTTCGCCTCTCTATTGTTCTGCTGCTCGTATCTTTGTGAGGAAATGGAATACCATTTGTTCCATTTATCTCCCCCAGAGTGTCCTGCTTTCACTTCCCGATCTGAAACACCTACTGGACTCCTAGCAGGAGCCTGTGCTCCTGCTAGGTGATTTCAATTATCATTCCCTTTGGGGTGATGCTCTGACGAACAATCGAGGTCGCCTTCTTGAGCCGTTCATCCTCTATTCTTCCCTGTCTCTTCTGAATTCTGGTGAGACCATGCATTTGAACTCTCACCCTTTCCTGTCTTGATCTTTCTCTTTGCTCGTCTTCTCTTTACTTGGATTTCACGTGGCGGGTTCTTGATGATCTCCATGGCAGTGACCATTTCCCTATCCTTGTTATCTTTTTTTCACCCTCCCTTCTCCTTCCATAGGTGGCAGTTTGCTAAGGCAGACTGGAACCTATTTACCCTCAGTGCTACTCCCTCTCATCTCTCCCTTCTGCCTCTCCCTCGCTCTCTCCTCCTTTTTCATGACACAGTCTTCGACACTGCCCTCCACTCTATTCCTCACTCTTCCTCCCTGGGACCACGGAGATGCATTCCCTAGTGGAATTGCGACTGTGCTCGGGCTGTCCGCTGTAAGAGTGCAGCCTGGAAGAGAGACCGCCGCCGGCAGACAGCCGATTCTTTTCTTTTATTTCGGAAGGCGAGTGCGGTGGCCGGCCTGTAGGGCCATCCGTACAGCTAAACGTGAATGTTGGGTGTCTTCTGTTTCCACCATTACATCCGAAACTCCTCGGCTGCAGACCTGGAAGCGTGTCCGCAAGATAGTGGGCAAGTTCGTTCCCGATGTCTCACCGGTCCTTTACCTCCATGGTACTCTTGTGGCGGACCCGTTGCAGGTCGCTACTGAACTGGGTTTCCACTTTTCTGTTGGCTCTGGTTTTCATCTTCCCCAATCTTTCCTTCTTCGTAAACCTGTCCTTGCATCTTGTCCTTTAGATTTCTGTACTCATCTTTGCGTTCCCTATAAGGGATCCCTTCTCTCTCTGAACTTCGGTCTGCCCTGGCCCTCTGCGGTTCTAAGGCGGCGGGCTCCGATGGCATTCATTATGAGATGCTTCGCCATCTCCCTCCGTGCACGTCTCGGTATTTACTGAGTCTGTATAATCGGATCTAGGAGTCGTCGTCAGTCCCTGAAGACAGGCTTGATGCCGTTGTCCTCCCTGTTTGCAAACCGGGGTCTCTGGGAACATCCCCTAAGGACTTTCGTCCTATTGCCCTCACAAGTTGTGTCTGCAAACTCTTTGAACGCATGGTTAACGTTCGTCTGACGTGGTTCTTAGAACATCATCACCACCTCTCCCCTTCTCAATTTGGTTTCTGCAAGTGCCACAGCACAACAGATGTCCTGGTGAACTTGGAGGTCTATATTCGTACTGCTTTTGCTGCGAAGACCTCCATGGCTGCCGTCCTTTTTGACCTGGAG